GACATGCTTCTTTCAAACCTATAAGAGAAAAATAAGGACACTTGGCAAGTTATATTTTGATTACACCCACAGAAGAGAATTTTCAACATAAAATTATTGTGTGTTCTATTGTCTAGGTCAAATTTGAGTTGATGATTGGGGTACATGTATGTGATGTGAAGCCCTGTTTACTTGGATTTCCACATCTAGAATATTTCTGTTGTTTAATTCCAGACTAACCTTTCTTTCATTCCATGGCTGTTATGATTTACTTACAATAATGGCAAGTCACAAGTGTCTTCTTTAACTTTCTGTAGTAAAACTTTGGCACTATCTTCACCAAGTGTTTTAATAATGATGACCAAAGCTAGAATAAACCTAATTTAGGAAACATTAAGTGCTGCATCATCTCTAATGAGGCATTTCCTTCTAGCAATGTCTCACATACTCCCTTCTGACTAGATGTTTGCAAATTGGTTGAGTGATCATAAATGTATATTTATAAATTAAAAACAATATGTTTGATAAACATAGCATTGATTCTTGGGTCAATTAATAATGGCCATCAGATAACTTTATCAGTTATTTTAGGAAGCAGAAGAAGCCCTGAGTGTGTGAAGGCTTAAGTAGGTGTGTGTTATTGACATGAGCTGGCCATGTTGAGGACCATGACCTCAGACCCACACTAAAATGACAAAGCCTTCATCCTCTTGGAGTGAGGCTTACAGGGATGGCAAAGCCTTTCTCTCCCTGGAGTGAGGCTCAAAGGGATGGCAAAGTCTTCCTCCTTCCCTCTTCCCCAGAATGAGGCTCAGAGGGATGGGAAGGCCTTTCTCTTGTACATGTGCAGTTGTTGCTGGTGTAGAAAAGTCCACCTTAACATTCTCACCCTGGATATTTGTGGCCTAAATGTTGTCCATTTCCCTTCAGAAACTGTCCCTATTGAGATCAACTAAACCTGCCTCCTTGGTTTATCTGTATGAAATAGCACTCGCCCGCTCAACAGTAGAATAAACACACTTCTGAGATGCCCAACTTTTCCACCAGAGAGCCCAGACTTTCTTTGTGTGCATGTGTGCCTGTCTTTTCTTCATCCCTTACCACCCCAGTCAAGTCCACCCCTAAGGCAGCACAAGGATGTAACAAGTTAAATTTTCACAAGAATGAGATTCCAAGGGAGCTGAAGAAATGGCTCTGTGACTAAAATGGAGATCCCAATGGACCTGAGTTCAGCTCCTAGCTTGTGGTGGCTCACAAACACCTATTACTCCAGCTTTGGGGTGTACAATGCTTTTGGCTGCCAGGGGTACCTGAAATCGTATGTGAATACTCAGACAAACAGATACACGAAGAGACACATAATTAAAAGTAAAATACATGTTGAAAAAAGTATTTTTATATGATGCCAAAGTAAACATCACCATCTTCCAGAAAAAGCTCCCAAAGAATAGCAACAAAATTACACACACACACACACACACACACACACACACACACACACACACACACACACAGCACATATATAATGATTATTTTAGGACTGTTTGATAGTATCAAATATCCACTGATCATATTCCCTTATTGTTTGTCAGAGAGCTCTGCAACTTAGCTGGCTTGAATTCAGGGTGTTAGTATCTGGGCTTTGAACTGCCTTTTGTGATGTTACCTTTTGTGATGTTACCTTTTGTGACAGCTGCCTTGTGTTTGAAGTGTCTGAAGCTTATCTGAGTTCTTCCTGAAGCATTCAAAGCCTCTGCAAAATTGGTGGCAGAAAAACTGGGAAAACCAAGAGGTCTGGTGACTGATTATTGCTTTGGTACTTGTTTCCTTTGGGAGCTTCAGATAAGAGGTTTTCGTTTGCAGAAATTGATTTGCTAAGGTGTAGATTGTATACACACATACACACACACACACACACACACACACACACACACACACACACACACACACACTCAGTCTTTTGTGAAGCAGTGGCAGTCAGGTCACCAGAAACTGGCTCATCTGCTGTCGTTAAACCAAAATTCATGTTGGAGTGACCCAGTTTCTTCCACAGACCCACCAAAAAAACACAACACCGACACTTGGTGCCCAATGTCAATGTCATGGGGTTGGAGAAAGAAAGGATTCAGTTGCTCCAGGACTCAAGGCTTTGTTTTTCAAAAGTGCACTCTCAGAGTATGAGGACTCCAGGGTTTGTCAGGGTCATAGGGAATTGCCCCATCTCAGAAGTGGCAACAAGTAAAATGACTCCTTAGACAAAGAATAAATCAAGGGAAAGGGCCCTTTTAAGTAGATAAAAGGGAAAGAAGGAAAATTAAAAAAAGAAAATTTTTTGATGGAAAAGGAGAAATGTTTAGTCAAGAAAAGGGATTTCCCCAAAAGAAGGGAAAATGCTGAGTCTAGACCTAGAAATAAAAAGGTCCCATAAACAAAAATAAGGGAAGGAAAAAAAAAAAGAACCAACCTCTTTCCAGTAGGAATAGAGGAAGAAAAAAAGACTCTTTCCAATAACAAGAAGAAATTCCTGTTAACTGCAACTCAGAGTTCCCTGGCTCAAGCTGCCTGTCAGTCAGCTCTTGAGGTCAAGGGTGGGCCAGCACAGAGAGGTGGTATCTGAATTTCAAAGGATGGCCAGGGCTTAACTGCTTCATCCTGAGCTAGCACAGCTGGCCCAGAACTTAGACCTTTCTTGTTTGTTTGTTTGCTTGCTTAAACTTGGTTTAAATGTTGTTTTGTTTTCCCTAATAACAGGAATGACTCATGGTGCATTGACAAAAACTAAAATAACCCCATCTCCTGGTAAAGACGATTTCAGTCAGGGCATAAGTGCTAAGCCAATGCTGTTTGAATTTTCAGAGTCATTAATCATTCATTGTATGGAAGATGCTATCTTCTCTTGATCATCTGATTAATGCTTAACTGAATGTTTAATTTTCATAGTTAATGAACTAAAAGAGGAAAATTCATCATTTTGAGCTATATTATTGGGTATGCTCTTGTCTGTTTATCATTATTGAGAATTTGCCTCTGCTCTTTTAAGTTGCTACCTAGAAACTCTTGACTAAATTCCATAAAAAAATGTAGCACCCTAAACAGAGTGGTTGTTAGCTTATTAAATAATATGGCTGCTAAGGCAAAAGCTCATAGAAATAATCTCTTGCTGAGATGCTAATGAAGCAGGGACTACAGCTGCTGAAAGGCATTAATTAGATTGTAGAAAAAACTGCTGAACCGAGTCAGCCTGTGTATCACAAGGATATTTTAACAACAGAAGAGAAAAAGTGTGATGTTAAGGCAAAAGGTGTTTCTTTTCACTATGCAGGGAGAATCCATTTAGTCCCTTTATAAATTGCTTTTCAGATATTTGTTGTTGATTTCTCCTAAGAAATTGTTACAAACTCTTGACCCGTCATTCATAGTCACCCACAACTGCATAATTTCAGCATTAGCATAGGGCACTACAGTCTCAGTTGGAGCCCTTCAGGTCATTGACAAAGTAATGATGAGAATGCAGAAATCACAGTGCTTACCATCAGCATGTTAGCCTTTCAGCCAAGGGGCACCTGGCTGGCTTCCTGCTCAGTGTGTCCTAAACTAACAAGTATTGGGGGTGGGGGTGTGAACTGCAACAGAATGGTGATATTCTTGCATATCCAATGCATGGTCCTGGATTAAATCCCCAGTATTGGAACAAACATAGAGAGGGGTTACCAGGGCTGAAGAGACGGTTCTGTCGTTAACGCCAACACTGCTCTTTCAGGGAAGTCAAGTTCAGTCCCCAGCGCCCGGCTCACAGCTGCCTATAACCCCAGGTCAAGAGCTCAGATGCCTTGTTAGAGTTTGTGTGAGCACTGCACTCTTGTGCACCTTGTGATGAATGTGGAGCCTGCAACAGTACCCAGCAGACCGAGACTAACGTTTCTTTTTCTAGACTCATAATCTGTTCCCCAAATTTCATGGATTATAAATACAAGTGGAATTTTCACATGGTTTTGTAAGGTCTTGATTTGTTCTCATTAAAAAGCAGAATAAATACAATGTATGAATCCAGTTATTTCCGTATATTTATAAATACCTTTCTAAATATGTTATCAAGTTATAAATGTACTTACAAATCATGCAATCTATGGAGAAGTTTGTATTATTTTTTTACACTGTAATGTTCGTCCAGTGAGTCTTCAAATAATGCACTCAACAATCTCTACTTCAGGGCTGTGGAGATAGTTTAACAGAGTCCTTGCCTAGCAAGTACAAGGACTTGAGTTCAATCCCAGAGCCCATGGATAAAATCTGAGATGGCAGCACATGCTCAGAATCCTAGCATTGGGGAGACAAGCAGATCCCTGGGGTTTGCTGGTAACCTAGACTTCTTGCAGAGTTCTGGGCCAGTGAGAGATTCTGCCTCAAAAACAAATGTGGAAAACATCTGAAGAATATCTTCAGAATTTGTTCTCGGCCTTACATTGGATACATACACACACACACACATACTCACACACACACATACACCACACATACATGTGCCCTACACAAATATGCATCACAAACACATGTATACCACACACACACACACACACACACATACACACACACACGTGTATATCTCACACATACAGACAAACAAATACAATACAGCCCAAGTTTAGGTAATTTAGAGTTCTGTCAATATTCCATTCACCTTTGAACTCCAGAATATGTAACGATATTAAGTACTTAAAAGGCATTTAGTGAATGGTTTTGGCTTTTGCAATCTTAACTATAAGCACTAATTACACACACAAAAAAATAAAAAAAATCCGTAATTTGATTACTGTAGGTTAGTGAAGATTTGACAACTTCACAAAAAGACATGTGTGGCCGTTGTTTACCTAATCAAGCACATCACAGAAACCTGAGGGTAGGGGCGGTTGTCGTTAAAGATGTGTCAGCTGATGGTACTTTTAAAGGCACTCTGCCAAGCTCCTGAAGATGTGTCTCCATTCAAGCCTAACCACAAAAATCCAACAAGCACAGAGACTTACCCTGCAGAGAGAAACGTCTCAGTCAGTTTCTCAGGTTTTGCAAAGTCTTTTCTGGGTGACAATCCCAGCCAAAAATTGCTTAACTTCTCTGACTTTACAAATTCCTAGAGAAACAAAGATGGCAAGTTTAAGAAGCTGTTTCTCATGTATTGCAGGCTTCTGTTTGGGTGTAGCATTACCACTTTTCAAAGTCATTTCAAAGAAACAGAAAGTGATTTTTAAGATGTTAGCACAGTTTCCTGCCTCGCAGGAGGAAAGCTGAACCAGCTGTGTAGATACAGGGAAGAATGAAGAGGAAAGTCCAGTGCCTGGGGGCAGCTGCGCTGTGTTTTAGCTGGACAACCTGCAACTACTCAAACAGTAAAAACCAAAGCCACCGCAAGCTAGTCAGGACCGCCGCTGACCCTGGGAATTTCAAACAGTCCTTTGTTTCATTGTTATGGTGTGGTCAGCCTTGCATAAAGTGCAGATTCCATAATGCATCTAATACTACAACATACCCAACTCAATCTGTGTAAGAACAGAAATCCTGGTCAATCCTACTTCATTCCAGAATCTCCCCTCCAAAACCTGTAAGTATGCCGGGCGGTGGTGGCGCACGCCTTTAATCCCAGCACTCGGGAGGCAGAGGCAGGCGGATCTCTGTGAGTTCGAGGCCGGGCTGGACCGACAGCCTCCAAAACAATACAGAGAAACCCTGTCTCGTAAAACCAAAAAATAAAAATAAAAAATAAAAAAACCAAAACCTGTGAGTATCTGTTTTCTCCCAGTAAAACTTCTCATAAGACAAGCCAGGCAAACTCCCAGTGACGAGACTCTTCCTTGAGAAGCTTCTGCTGGTTTACTTTCATTTTCTAATAAAACACTTGAGCTTTTCACTTTCTATGTTGGAATTCTTTGTCTGATGTCTACAGGAACTTGGCATCAGTGGGTTGAAGTCTCTGAGATCTCTTCAGCCTTCACCGCTGGAGACAAAAGGACCTACTGATTCATTGAATAACCTTAATACAGGGTCAGTTTCCCAGGTCTCAATATTTGGGTAGTGAAAATTCAGTCTGGGGCAAAGGAGGTGGCTAATGACTGCAAGACAGACTTAGCAGAAACAGAGAAGTGGAACAGAGCTGCTGCAATAGAGCCAGAGAAGAGCAACAGCTGCAGAACCCAGAGTCAGCACACAATACTTTGCCCAAAGTGTTTTTCAAGGCAGGGTTTCTCTGTATTGTTTTGGAGGCTTTCCTGGAACTCACTTTGTAGACCAGGATGGCCTTGAACTCACAGAGATCCGCCTGCCTCTGCCTCCCGAATGCTGGGATTAAAGGCGTGCGCCACCAACTCCCGGCTCAAAGCTATATTTTTTAAAGTAAGTAATTATGAATTATTAGTTGATAAAGGTCAATGAGACAGCATAATCAATAAAATTCGCTTCTCCTATAAAAGATGACCAATTTTCTTATGGAGAGAGGCTGAGCCATTAAGCAGATTTATTTTTACTCCAAGATAAATGACTACAATCTAAGATCAGCTCACATAGGTAATTCCAGAACTTGAGAGGTTGGGGCAGAAGGACTGATGTGAGTTTGAGATAAGACAGGGCTACTGAATGAGATTTGTCTCATAAGAAAGAAAATAGTAAAGGATTACTATGTGAGAGAACAGACTATTTACTAATAAGTGAAACACAAAGACATTGTTTAGACCAGCAACCTGTGGGTCACTGTCCCTTTGGGGATCGAATGACCCTTTCACAGGCATCACCTAAAACCATCAGAAATATCAGCTACTTACATTACAATTCATAATTGCTCTGGGCAATATGTCTGGTTAACATTTGCCGCCTCTCTATTAACACAGTATATTTACTTAAACAAGTGTCATCCTATCTGGCTTTACCTGGCTTTTTTGTCTAGTAAATAAAAACTACAACATTTGACAATAAAGAATATCCTCCTATGTGTGTGTTTTTATGGGGATAGTGAGCCCTAGCCATGATGGCCACACTCTCTGTCTTTGAATAGCTATTCTGGAGCACACACAGGAAACCTGTTTCTACACTTCCAACTTGGAAATAATAGACCTGAGGATTCTGGGAGTCCATGCTCTACCCTGTATCTTGCAGCTTCTAAGATTCTGCAAGATAAAGCCTATGGGTTTTAGCTTGACTGTGATTTTCCCTGAGACAGATATGCAAGTCCCACTCCCCTCCCTGTGCAACACAAATGATCCTGAGTCATGAGTGGGTCACTGTGTATCTTCCCAACACGTCCCTCTTCACCCCTTATTTCATGATGTGAAGTGAATCCTTTCCTAGGGAACAGAGGCATAGCAACTTACCAGCACACTCTTGTTCTTAAGCTTCAGCAGGCTGGCATTCTGAGTAGAACACAGCATTTCACTATTTTGCCATGTTCCAAGTCTACTGAGTTTGAAATAACAGCTGTCCTTGTGCCATTTTGAGCCCTTTGGACAAGGTTTGCATTTGTGCTCTAGAAAGAGGACAGAGACTTACAGGTTTGTGTGAACACTCTTGACTATTATTCCATTATTCCTTGACAAGATTTACTGTTACTTCTCTTTAGGTAAACAAGAAAGAAACAAAGGCTTCTACATCCCTATACATCACCCTAAGGAACATAACTTGGGCAAACAGAAAAGTTCAAGTTCCTGGCCAGATTCAAACATATTGTCCATCATCAGGAAAGCTGGATAGTTTTCCTTTGTTTGTTTGTACTCACTTAACAGACTCTTAAAAATTAATCCCAGCAAATGCTATCTAGTAAAAACCAGGTTCACTGAGCCACGTCGGTCAGCTTTTTCCAGCAGTTGTCTCTCTGGCTTTCAACCTCTGGAATATTTTAGAGGAGCCTTAGAAGCACAGGAACATAGTTTAGTCACAAAAACTGCACAGGTGCTGGAAGGGAACACTCCTTCCCCTGGTTCCACACATCACCTGAGATTCATTTCTTTGCCAGGACCTTTCACTCTGTCAGTACTAGCTCAGATTTAGGAATGGGGTGATGTATAAAGAGGCATCATCCCCTAATCACCACCTCTTGAGTTTTGCGCCCAGGACAAGGGTAATAAAGTGCAGATTAAAGAAACTGAGTATGACCGTCTGGTGCTTCATTATGGAGCTGTCAGAACCCTCTAAACTGACAATCTAGTTATTTCTGCTTTAGTGTCCCCCCCCCCACCAAACTACAGGGAAATATCATTAACTCGCTTACCAAGCACACTTCATTCCACATTTAATATTGGCTCTGTAAGACACTGATTCTTAAAGGACCCTGAGATTTAGTTTGTTGCCCAGGAAACAGCTTTGCCAGCAATATAGGGTTACCTGGTTCTTTTCTATACAGCTCACGGCATAGCTGGGTGGCTAGCTTTTGCAGCAGGGAAGAGAGGTGCCTGATTTTCTTGGAGCTGTTGTGATTGTGCGTCAGCTGTAGGGAAACATTTCTCTGAAGCTCTTCCTTGATGTCTTGTAGTTCATTTGATTTTATGATTACTGTCTCCAAAGTTGTATAAACTCCAGTTTTTTTAAAGACAGAAGAGAAGAAAATAGTAGATGATTAAAAAAAACATAAATTCTCAGTTATTCCTACGAGCTTTAGAAATGTCATGCATTTTTTCCTTAAGAAATAGCATTGAGCCGGGCGGTGGTGGTGCACACCTTTAATCCCAGCACTCAGGAGGCAGAGGCAGGCGGATCTCTGTGAGTTCGAGGCCGGGCTGGACCGACAGCCTCCAAAACAATACAGAGAAACCCTGTCTCGTAAAACCAAAAAAAAAAAAAAAAAAAGAAATAGCATTGAAATATTAAAGTGGTAGGAAAAGGCTTCTTCCGTGGGAGTTATTGGAGGAGATGGAGTATATGTTATGGACTACGTTATATTATAAGATGCTCTTTGGGGCATAAAGCCTTAATTCAAAGACTAAACATTGGTTCAACAACTCATGGAATTCTAAATCAGCCCTAAAATATCTATATAGATGCATACATTTATAAATACATACATATATATATGTAACACAATAAAAATTAAGTAGGTTGCATTTAAATATTTATTTATATACCTGTGTAACAATAATAATTAAAGACTGAGAGTCTATGAATTTGAGAAAGAACAGACAGGGGCATAAGAAGGATTATAGAAAAAAGGGAGAAATGAAGGCACTCTATTTTAATTGAGTTTAAACTTTCTTTTTAAAGAATGGGATGATACATACACAATCCTCCTAAAACCCCCAGTCCAACAAGCAGCAGAAGGCACAGAAGAGTCAGACTCAAGACTGCTTTATCTTGCGAATGGGAGGGAGCAGAAGGTACTGTGAAAAGAAAAAGAGCACAGCGTTTAAGAAGCAGCTCACAGCTGAACTTCATTCATTCACTCATTCATTCCCTCACCCTCCCCTCAGCTCCTTTCTACTGTGCATTTTATAATGGAAAGTAATTTGCTGGAAACCCAAAGACTTTAATTTTTTTCAAGAAAAATCAGATTTTATTTTGAATCTTTAACTATGCTGTCTTTCAACCAAGAATTGTTTGCTCGTGAAAGTCTTAAATTTCTTACTACTAAGATCAAGGCACTGATTTTTTTAAAAGTAAGAAACATTCAGGAAGTTCTTTTGAATGAGAAAGGTGTCTCATAAACCCCTGGACTGATAAAAGATTCAAAAAAATAAAGATACGGTTTATAAATTAGAGGGGAGGAAGGAAAATGGGGGCTACAGATAGAGTGTATCCCTGGATACATTTGTGGAAAGTGAGTGTCTGGAGGCTGAGGGAAGCCAAGTCAGGCTGAGGAGTCTCTTGGAATGCACAGGTGAGGCTTGGCAGAGGAAGGTGGTCTAGATGCTAATGAGTTCTATCCCCCTCTAACTCCAAGATGCAGAACAACAAAGCAGGCTATCACTGGCTATGCCCAGGCATCCCTCATCAGCTCTCTGCCTCGCTTAGTCTGGATCTGCCTTTCTCATGACAACTTTTTCAATAGTTTCTATGATTTTCACTATTTCTTGAACAATGAATCACAGACTAGACCATTTTTCCAAAAGTAATTGTGAATTACTGTTAAGGGGTTACATGATTTAAATTATCACCATATATGGATATATGAAAACATTGTTTCAAGAAGGCAATTCAGGAATTATGTTATTTTCTTACTCTGTTGCTGAAATTTGTCTTATATATATCAACAGCTGATAGCATAACAATGTTGTAAAATCTCACAAAAGAGACATATAAAACATAAAATTTGATTTCTTAATATTTTGTAAAATTATTGTTAGTGAAAATACTATAAATCTTCTACTCCTTGTCTGAGGTTTAAAATGCAAAGTCATGAGCTATCTTTTACCAGAATTATTATCTCATTTATGTATGTATTCAATTATTTAAAAGTTATCAGTTGTGTACCATTTAGGCACTAAACATTCTTGTGGCAGCTAATAAAACAAAGTAATAGGGTGTGCATGTTTATGTTGTCATATAGATGCATGTTAAAGTGAAAAGGAACAGCTAAATGCTTGATAGATAGATAGGATAGATAGAAAGGATAGACAATAAATAGATATTTGAAGTCCTTATATTTTAGAAAGTATATGGCTTAGATGTCATGAACACAAAGAAGAAATGTGCAGAATTGGTATGAAGAACATGATGGTAAAATCATCCAGCTCAAAGACTATAATTCAGGGGAGATATTTTCACTTGTGGAACAGAAGATGTTGAGAGTGCTTAAAGATTGTCCTATATGAGAAGGAATGCTCAGGGAGCTTAAAGCAAAGCCAAGCTTGCCTGTGGAAGGGTGGGGCAGGCGCTGAGGGCTGGGGAGAAGTCATGAGGAGACACTTGGAAGACATGGCACTGGAAGCTGAAAGGCATGAGATTACTTAGAAATGCTTATCGGGGATGGAGAGACCGCTCAGCAGTTGGGAGCACTTGACAGCTCTTCCAAAGTTCCTGAGTTCAATCCCAGCAACCACATGGTGGCTCACAATCATCTGTAATGGGATCAGATTTCTTCTGGTGTGCATGAAGACAGAGCACTCATGTACATAAAATACATGAATAAGCAAATCTTTAAAAAAAGAAAAGAAAAGAAACTCATATTGAATGGCACAAAAGAAGGATACCTGAAAAATGCCCTGGAGTGATCCACCAAAGAGCACAAGCAAGAAGTCAAGACAAGCAGAATATCAAAACTAGCTCACCCACAGGAATAGTGAAATTCAGGAGGATATGTTCCAGAGAACACCCAGTGTGAAGGAATTTCACTTAGGTTTTAGTGTGTTATGAGTGCTGTGTTGAGTATGTCAAGTTGTATTGAAGGCAGAGTCTCACACATGCTAAGTAAGTGCTATAGCACAAAGCTATATCCCTCTTATGATGAGATGGAATCTTACAAACTAACTGCCCGGGGTTGACTCTGAACTCACTCTGCAGTCCAGGCTGGTCTTAAAATTGTAATCCTCCTGTCTCAGCCTCTTTAGTAGCTGAGATTAGAGAACTGCTCCCTCAGGCTTAGCAAAGAAAGTGATTTTTAAAGAGAAAGTTTGGCACTACAAAGACAGTAGGGAAGTATAGCAGTGAAAGCATAGGGGTAGGTGGTCATGAGATAGCACAGGAATTAAAGGCACTTACTGTGCAAGCCTAAGGACTTAAGTTAAATCCCTGGTGGTTCACATGAAAGAAGGAGTGGACTGACTCCTCAAGATGTCCTCAGGCCTCCACACATGTACTGTGGCTAGTGCACACATAGATACACATATGTATGCACACACACACTAATACACATGCATGCACACACATTAAACACGCAAAGTATATTTAATCTAAATTTAAAACAAAAAATAGACATCTGAATGCCAGGATAAAACAAGAAAGCCCCAGAAGACCTGGATCAGAGTCAGCTTTGTGAACAATGAGGAAAGATACCATATAAAAAACTGTTCTCTCTCTCTCTCTACACACACACACACAGAAAGTGTTCTCTCCCTCTTTCTCTTTCTCCTATTCTGCAAGCATTTTACTTTTCAAAACTATAAAAACAGGAGCATATGTCTATAACTTTCCTGCACAATATATAGTCTAGTTCCATGACTTCATTAATAAACACACACAACAACAACAGCAACAACAACAAAAAAAACAGAAATAAACCTTTCATGATAAAACACCAGCATTTCTACACAGAGGCACCCTGTCTTGAAAACAAACAACAAACAAACAAAAACCCACCATATTGGAAAATACCATCGTGTCCCATGTACCAAGCTGAATACTTTTAAAATATTGTAATTGCAATGATTTATATTTATGCCTTAAGGAAAAAATCTCTATAATCATTTTGGTACTTTGAGTTTAAACAAAAGGCTTAATTAAAGTCCACACAGAGTAATCACGATATTTGAAGTGTGGGGCTGTGACAACCTCCACAGCCTTGCATCACATCCACTACTCACAATCTTACCTTCTGCCCCACCTTTTTCAGACCTCTGTGTATGTTCTTTCTTATTAGAGTCCTGGAATTTGAGATTTGCATAAACAATTTCTTCAGACATTGGTCAAAGGAAGCAGATTGTCCTTTGAAAAGGTGAGAGAGAGCTGGAGGATGAGTAAGTCTATCTGGAATTTTAATCCACTGTGTGAAAATTAAGATAATCTCACAAGCTAGAATTTCTTTTTTAAAAACCCACTGTGCCTGCCAGTCTCTCAAATATCTGCCCAAGAGGCACAGACTGTTCGAAACCTCAGGCAAGAATAAATAAAAGTCAAAAGAGGAAACATTTTTCTTCCTCTTATTTCTTCCCTTTTCTCATTTCTACATTAATTTTTGAAATTGTGTTTGGATAATATTAGTATCGGGCAAGTTGCACAACTCATTCCTACCACACAGTGAAGATACAGCATAGGATTAAACTCTCTAGCAGGGAATTAATTGGAATGATTTGGCTCTCAAATGCTCCCTGATTGAACCACAGGGGGCAACCATGGTGCCCTGTGAGTAGTATGGTCAGGTTCCCAGAGAAGAAGTGGCTTAGTCAGAACTGCACGAGCACAGATCTCTCTCTCTCTCTCTCTCTCTCTCTCTCTCTCTCTCTCTCTCTCTCTCTCTCTCTCTCTCTCTCTCTCTCTCTCTCTCTGTGTGTGTGTGTGTATGTGTGTCTCATGCAAAGGTTCTGGCTAGATTAACAGGAGTTTTGCTCCCAGTACTGAAGAGGCAGAAGAAGGTAGATCTATATGAGTTCCAGGACAGCCAATACTACATAGAGAGACACTGTCTGAAACCACTCCCAAAATAACAAATTAGCTAAATAAGCAAACAGACAAATAACATGAGACACTACCACCACCACCACCACTTTTAAATGAGCTTAAAACTGTGGTAATATTGAATCAAAGCATGCCATAACCTGGGTCATGCTGGTACCAGCTTCCTTCCCTTTTTCAGTGGTTTACTCAAACACAACATGTGGACTGAGATTTTGTGCAAAAAGTTAAGTTTCATGTTTCCTGGCCAGCAGGGCTGTTGACAAAAGCACAGGTTGTTACCCTAAGAATGCATACTCCCAGTCGTGGTTCAGTGCCCCAGGTTCATAGCTCTTTGTTGTTGTTCAGGGAAACTAAGTATTTTCATGGTTTGGAGACTACACATTAGAGACTGGGTGTCTCATCATTGGATGTTGCCTATTTTTTAATATCTTCTAATATTTCTTTGAAATTCTTAATGATATTGATGCATAAATAACGTTAAATAGGTTGGCATTGTTTTTAAAACTTCTTTGTCTTGATAAAATGTTATACAGACAGGCAGCACTAGATGGACTCTGTGAGTTGTATGTGTGTATTTCTGTGTTTAGATATGAATTCCAGCAATAGTCAAAGAAAAGGAGGTCATGACTTTTAGGGAAGTATTGGACAGCATGGGAGAGGTTAGAGGGAGGAAAGGAATAGGGGGTTATATTTTAATTTTGAAAAGGATAGAAAACTGAAGAGACTCTATAACACAGGCTAAAAGTAAGCAAAAGAATCACAAGTACAAATAAACCAGATATTTACAAAACCATACTGAAGAAAAACTCTAAACTACTAAGAAAATAAAACAGGAAAGCATGCTTTAGCATTAGAAGTATTAACAGTGTAAAATCATTTGTAAAAGTTTCAATAAACATTGAATTAAAACAATAATGGATACTTTCCTGATACTTAATAAGATGATTTTAGAGTATAGTTCAAAATAATTACAATGAAATATTTTGAATGCTTCCATCCCCCCACTAAGATCCCACTAAGAGATACTGTCTCAAAAGGCAAAGTAGATTCACATATACTCCTACATGCGTGTATATGAAAATGCATAGTAACTTACACACACATATAAGCATACCATGACTGTTAAAAAATACAGAATTTTTATTTCCTTCTAACTACTTCATGAGTGCTGGTTTACAAGCCTTCAAGATAAGTGTTCTTATTATCACCTTGATTCCATGGCAGGTAAGTAAACTATAATCAGAGTCCTCAACCAAGATCACCCAGACGTCATAGCAGATAGAGAAACGAGGTGTAAGCAGATCCCAGCTGCTTGTTTCAGACACATATTGTCCCACAATGGGAAAGCACTGGCCTTTCCTTCTTCCTGGTGGGGTATCAAATATGTCTATAGGAAGAATAAAAGTTCTCACACTTTAGAATAGAACACATGAGTCTGGACTCAGTGTCTGAGTAGAGAAAGGTTTCTCAACCAGGTATGAAAAGTCATTGAAGATGAACAAATTTGGCTACATCAAAATTAAATATACACATATAGCAAAATACACTGTAGTGAAAATACCCATAGCAAACTGAAAAAGTGTAAATATGCATAAAATCCACCATATATATTATAGAAATCATAGAGGATGGGGTGAATTTTATAGACTTACAGTTTTCCTTAGTTGTGATAAAAAGTAAATTGGATATAAAACTTTAAACTCATCTTGTACTTCCCCTTTGGAGAGAGTGATAAAAGCCTCTACCTGTGCTGTGGAGGGAGGACCCTTCCTCTCACCCCTGTGCTTCTGATGGTTCTCTAGCAATCATCAATGGAAAGTCCTCCTCACAAGTTGTCATTCAACTTCCTGAGTACTGTAAATTTTCGCAGTTAGAAGCCCATTACCAAGTATTATAATTAGCTTCAGTTGTCATCTTCCCAAACCCTGTGGTCATCTGTTGGGGTTTCAATTAAGGGACTGGCCAGAACAGAGGAGTATGACCCCATCTATAAGAGACTGTCTTGATGACTGAGGTAGAGGGGCACAGCCCATTCATATCATCCCTAGTCGGATGGAGCAGGGATGAACACTAGCCTGTGAACAGAGAATCAGGCGGGGTAGGGGAGTGCGATGACTCAGACTCAGACTCTCCCCCGCCCCATTAGTTACTGGGGAGAAAAAATATACACTGAGTCAGGAATCTGTCGAAGCAGGATCTCAATTTATTCCAACAGGCAGGAACTTATATAGGGCTGAGGTAGGGGATGGGAATCATAGGATGGGGTAAGGTGAGGTGAGGAGTAATTACATACAAACTATGGGGATTCTCCATGTTTCTAATGTTTTAATTACAGTGAACCTAAAATATTCTTTCCATTAGTTTTTAAATTTCCAATACACATATGAGGAATAGTTTCAATATTTGGGGGTGTTATGATAAATCTTGAGGGGGACCTTGGCAGATTCCATGGCAGGCAAGGGTGACCAAGACAGAGGGACAAACATGTCAGACAAACAGAGCTGAGTGAGAAGTTTTATTAGAAAGGGAAGGGGGGGTACAGAGACACAGGGACAGAGAGAGGCTAGAAGAGAAGAGGGAGACAGGAAAAGTCCTGTCTGCCCCAAGGGAAGACCGGAAAGAGAGTAGCCCAAAGAGAGGAGTGGATAAAGAGAGCAGAAAGAGAGGAGCCGGAAAATGAGCAAATGGGCAGAGGTCTTTCTTTCAAAAGGCTGACCGGGGTACTGCCTGAGTGCATTCTGCCACGTGTCAGGGGTAGGCCAGCATAATGCCTGAATCCAAACAGGTGGTAAATTAAAAGTCAACAAAAATTATAATCCCTCCTTCAATTACTGAACTCTGCAGGTATGGTTCCAGCTTAAGCAGGAATCTACCATGCTAAGTTGTAGTGCTGAAGACCGTGCCTACGTAGGAAACAAGCCTTAATTTACCATGAATGTGTATAAAACTAATGGGTTACTTTGCTAAATTTCACTATACAACCTGTATGACAGTTGAAAACTCAAGAGATACTAAAACAAAAACAAAATGGGGGCGGGGTTCAAGGACCAAGAGAGAATAAGTGCAATTCACAGTTGAAGCTACTCCTAAGTTACACAGCTTTATCGGGTTTTGGACACAAAGTCCAGGGAAAGGCAAGCCATGGTCTGCTGACAGGGTATCAGAAGGTAGGGCTGGTGCCAATCAAGTTTCCCCATGGTGATCGCCAGCCAATCAGGGGCTGCTAGCTGACGCCGTTGGGCCTTCTCACGCTGCTGCTGCCGTTACTCCCACAGAGGAGCAAGGACAGGGCCAGTGAGGACAGGGCCAGTGACAGATCTTGTGGCCCTCTGAACCGAAGCATAGAGTCAGTGCTGAACCATCACACTGGAGTGGTGCTGTATCATCCATCCATCCGTCTTGCTCCGTCCCTGACCCCAGAGAAACTCAGCCCTCAGAGTTCAAAGGGTTAAAGACAACGGATATGATTATTAGTTCTCCTTTGGACCTAAGAATTTTCTCAGCCTCTGTAGTGACCGGAGCGCCGTTCCCATGATGATAGAAAATGTATATAGAGCGTCCCATACCAGCCATGTTTTGGGGCATCAAAGGACAACGTTTGGTAAGGAGATGATAGGTTTGTTCTCAGGATAAGGCTGGTAGCTTTTGCTTAGTCTGTGAGGCAGAGGGTATGCATATGAGCCTTACATAAAAGCAATTGTCATCAACAAAACAGAGGCTCAAGTATAAAAGGAAAAATGGAGAAGGATAACATTACCTCTCCACCACAACCGCCCCTCCCTGCGAAAAGGAGACATTTCATTAAAACAAAGCAAAACCAACACTAAACCAAACCAAACTCTCTGGGGAAGGTGGGGACTGGATTTTTGTTCCACAAGGCTTTCTGGAGAATATATGTCACAGTTCTTGGAAATGACACATAGACTCAAAGGCATACCTGAGTACCGCCCCCCTTTCCAAATAGATCAATGACTGAGTAGTGAATAGGACACAGAGAATGTGGATTTTTTAAATGGGGGTTTTGTTTTCTTGCGGCTTTTCTCTGGTAAATAACGACCTGTCTGTTTGCCTTATGTGCAGATGGGAAGAAACTGCTGACCCTCTGGACCCTGCTATGTGGTGGTGTTGTTGTTCTTCTTTGGGGGTTTTTCAGTTTTCCTAGAAAATGTAAGTGATCACTTTACCCCCTAGAAGATCAGTCTTTTCATAATCATGCATTACATTCAGAGTGCCGGCTGCTGCTGATTCCTTCAAAACTGGGATTTCATGCCCTTGGAAAGGTTTTCCTTCTAACTGAACATCGACATTCACAAGTAAAGAGCTGTGGAAGAGTAGTGTAAGTGTTGTGCGGAAGGTTCCTTCAGTCTGAAGCAGGATGAGAGGGGACTATGTGCGAGTCATGGTCAGGTAAAGCTTACCAACAGCTGGGCGAGTGTGCTCCCTGTTAAGGCCTTATAGGTACAACATTCATGTCAGAAAATGGAGCCAGCTCTGACGGCGGTGGAGGTAAGGAGCAAGCTGAGGTTATGCTGTGCTGCCTTTCCAGAGTGTGTTAACTGTCACTGCCACATGGGGGTGTGGGCAACCTTATTCTCACAGAAGCAGTGGTGGGAGACATCACCCTCGACCTCAGCATACAGGTTCTTCTGACCACGGGGTGTCCGGCTTTTCCACACAGGCACTGGATGGTCTTACTCTGTCACGAGCACTGCCATTTTCTCTCTCACACACCGTTGCTGGTCTTGCTCCACTGAGACGTCTTCCTCAGCAGTGTGACAAGGTCGCAACACACCCCCAAATGAGATTAAAACAACAAAGAAACCTCATTAGCCCCATTCTTCCTCCAAGTGCTGCTGATGTTTGCTACTTGATGCAGAAACCTCCTTGAGATCTTTCCTTTGCTTGTTTTTCTTTCCCTCTCCTCTGCTCCCTGCCTGCCTTCCTCCTTTCCATTCATCCTCCCTCCCTTTCTCTCTTCAGGGTCTCATGTATTCTAAGCCCATGGTCTGCCATGAGACTGCATCTCCAGCTCAGACCGCTTGGTTTAGTTCACTTTCTGTGAAGACCATTGTTGTTTAGAGCTGATCCAGGGCCTTGCTCACGGTAAGCTTGGCCTCTTGCCATGGTACTAAACCCCAGTGCTCTTCCTTTTTCCATTCAAGTCACTTTGGCAAGGTTTCTGCTTCTGCTTTTCTCATGAAACCTGTAGTCCAGTTTACCAGAAACACCAATGCTGCTAATTCCAGTAGCCATCATCAATTTCATCTTCACTGACAATCCACACTCATTTAAAAATATTTTCTCTTCAAAAATTTCATACTATTATACAATATATTCTCATCATATCCATCTCCCTTGCACCATCCACAGGAGCTCCCTTCCAATTTCATGCTCTTCATTTGGCTATGCTAACCCACTGAACCCAATTAGTACTCCCTATATTTACAAATGGACAACCTGCTTGCAGCCATGTCTCCACAGGTGAGTCACTCCCTCCCTCTGCAAGGATCCACTGTCCATCCAGCAAGGATGGAGCCTCAGAGAGAGGGCCTCCCCAACTGGTGTTAGAATTTTAACTGGCTTGATACTGAGAAAAGTCATCTCCAAGCAATTAGTCCTTGATGCAGACACAGAGAACTGGTCAAACTGCCAATCTAAGTAACTGAGCACTCAGCTGTGGATAAATCAGCTGTACTACCCTCCCCCCCAATCCAAGGTTCATATAGTATCACAGAAGACTAAGTGGAAACTATGTAGCTCACTGATGGATGAGGAAGAGAGCTATGAGATGGTGACTTCCTTTTGTCAGGTTGGTGCTGACATCAGCTCAGATCAGTTCTGCTTCTCACGTTTTAAAACTCCTTCCTGTCTACATCACTGCTGACTCCATTTCCTTTACTCGTTCCATCTTTTCCCTTGCACTTACAGGTCCAGTGTTCAAACATGTCCCTTTATGCATCCAATCTTAGAAACATTGTTGGCCTGCTGGCCTTCGAACTGGTCTCAAAACGTTATCACATAAATGCATCTCTAATCTGGGACCATTCTTTGAATTCAATCAAAATTTTTAAACCAATCTAGCTATTTGATTAGCTGATAAACATCTCAACCTTAATCATGATCATGCTGAAATATCTTTCCCTCCCTCTCCCTCCTTCTCCCTTTCCCCTCCCCCTCTCTCCGTGTGTGTATGTGGGGGGGTGCGCGCGTGTGCGCAAGAATATGGGTTCTCATTGAAGTCAGAGTCAGCCTTGAATGTCTTTCTTCACAACTCATCCATCTTGTTTTGCAGACAAGAGCCCCTCATTGGGACCCAGGGCTCTGATTAGGCTTAGCTAGCTAGCTAACACTTCTCAGGGATCTGCATCTCCACTGCTGGGATCATAAGAGAGTGTCACCACACCCAGATTTCTCCGTGGGTTCTGGAGATATAGTTCAGGTAGTCACACATTAATAACAGTCTATTAACTGAGCTGTGTCCTCAACCCCCAAACTCTTTATCCCTCTCTTTTCTCTCAAGTCCTTTATCTGTGATGGTCCTCATCTTGGGGAACAGTAAATATATTCTTCTAACTTCAAAGTCAAAACACCTTATGCATTTTTCAACTTTTTTCTTTTCCCCTTTCCAAATAGAATCAGTAAAGTATGATGGACTGCCTTTTCACTGAGCCAAAGGTGAACTCTCTCCATTCACTTGCCGTTAGCCAGACAGCACCTCATTTTCTCCTCTGATGTTTGTCTTTCTTCTACCGTTCATCTCTGAGAGCAACTGTGGCTGTATCACATAATAATGCACTTTCTAGTCATTTTTTACATTATTTTTCCTACTATGACTTTATAATAAAAGTGAGTCAGATTTGAACTGGCCACATTTTAAGGTTCCATAATCACTTATGCCTAATGGCATCTGTATAGGCAAAGTTTATTTTTAATAATTAAGAAAACTCATCAGATCTGTTGGAAATTTTTCATTCACTTAGAGCAAAGTCTTATGAATGGCTACACTGCCCTTGATGCACCTAGTCACTCTGGACTACTGATGTTCTGGACTACTTAATCCTTCATGTGTCTGTAGGAACGTGGACATCTTCATTATTTGGTGAACAAGCCAGGCACAACCACCTCAGATCTCTGCATCATTTCTTCCCATTGCTTAGAAAAAAAGTCCTACCCTGGAGGCGGACATACCTCCCCAGCCCACCTTTCCTCAGGTCCACCTAGGCCATCATCACCTTTGTCTATCCCTGCCCTGAATGTTGGACTAGTACCCAGCAGTCTTCCTTATGCCTTGACCTGGGTGTACCTCATGAGGAACTACATGGCTTCAGACATGCAACTTTTATAAAAGCAAAGGGTTTTTTCATATTCATTTTTGTATTCCAACAGCTACAAAAAGATAAATGTCTGCCACAGGCAAAGTGCTCAGCATGGGTGTAGTTGGATGTACAAATAGAAAAAAATACACTAGCAAATGAATGATAAAACTGAATTTCTCGTAGTCCAGGTTTTGGACCAATTATCTGATAGTAATTGTTTATTTGAGTCCAATATTTTAGGGTAATTTGGGACTTTCTTTTCTCAAGTAATTTCAGTGAGATGAGTGTTTCTGCTGTGTTGTCATATCATACTTCATGTATATATAGAGCCTTACTGGTGGTTAATGCTTCCAGTTGAATAGTCTCCCATTCATAGGCTTGAGTGGGAGGCATCCATTTGTTTGTTTTTCCAGGATTGGGGAAAAATACCTTAAGTATTGTTTCTCTCAGGGTTATTTACAAACAAATAACTTCATTGTTAGTATTCAGGCATCTGTCCTTGGAGCTCTGATAGGATACATCTCTGGAGCACTGCTTTTCTTAAATTACGACCTCCATATATCTAGTACTGTGAGTTAGGGAGGAAATAGGAAATGTAAAAGTTAAATTTCATTGTTTATCTCTTGCCTGATTTCTTTCCTCAAGAACAAAGGACAAAGTAATAGCATCAACTTCTGAGGAAATGCTGTTTTTGAAAAACAATTAGTATCAGGTCAATAGGAAAGAACAAAGTCTTCAATGTTATAACTATAGAGGAATCCATTTGTTTGTGGTAAAGTATCTGAGGTGCAATATCCAATTTTAAGAGAAGTGAATAAATAAATAAATTCCAGTAGTATGAAATACCAGAAAAGGTGTCAGAGTAAATTCCATTTCTGGAAGTCGGTCACTGCTATTTTAAGTTACAGGGAGATGTTAATTCTGCAACGCCTCTTTCTCACCGCTGTGCTCTTGGTTGACCTGTCATTGTAGAGATAACAGCTAAAGTCATTTGACTGACATGGGATGTGAAAGCAAAACCCGTTTTATCAGTGTGAAATATAGGTGAATCTTTCCCAATGATTGTTTTTCTCTTACAGTTTTTTCATGTCGTATGTTCATTTTAGTTGGAGCCTCAAGAGTCGTCAGAAATAAGACATGTGACGATGAAACAAACATATGCACGAATTCCTGGCTTAAAATTAATCAGAACTGCTTCTTTCTTTTCCAACATAAAAATGCATGGCTGTCTGCACAGGAGAACTGTCAACGCTATGAAGCAAACCTGGCTAAGTTCACCACCAAGACAGAATTGGTTAGATTTCCCACTTTTCATGCTGAGCAGTAAAGATGCAGAACTTTTGCCTTTGGGGAAGTTGGAGCTCAGAAGGGAAGACAGACAACTAGAAATACTCATAGAAAATACATAAACTACACAGCATATTAGGTGTAATCAAAGTATATTATCACTTCTCCAAGTGGGTAGATTGGAGACAAAGTCACATTTCCTTGAAATGATGACATCTGAGCACAGAAATGACATTGAGGAAAACTGAAATCTCTGGGGGAAAATATAGTGGCATCACAGGATTAAGATAGGCAAAACGCCCCCCCCCCAAAAAAATAAAGAAAAAAAAAAAAGAAAAGCCGGGCAGTGGTGGCGCACGCCTTTAATCCCAGCACTCGGGAGGAAGAGGCAGGTGGATCTCTGTGAGTTCGAGGCCAGGCTGGACCGACAGCCTCCAAAACAATACAGAGAAACCCTGTCTCATAAAAACCAAAAAAAAAAAAAAAGGACTCATTTTCTTTGCTGAGGCAAATATAAAGTTGGGCATTAGGTACTCAGCCCACTGTAGGACCTGTGGTAGGTGTGTGACAGATGCAAACAAGGGCAGTGCCTTGTCACATACTGAGAATGAGACTGCTAGGAGCTGTCCCTGATAGAGCTCTGTTTTGTCACAGGAAACTCTGATGAGCCATGTGCAGGCACTGCGATCTTCATTTTGGATTGGACTGAACAGACGAAATTTACGCACATACTGGGTTTGGACAGATGAAAGTGTATACAATAACTTGTAAGCCTTCAATATGCTTTATTTAGTGTTAATTATAAATCATGGTAAAAATTCTAACTCTATAAACAACTATGCCTACTGCTTCTTTGTCTACATTTCCCAAACTGGCCCTCCAACAGATGCCAAGGAGATCCTTCAGACAAACCGGTAATCTTTTGGGAGCATCTGCCCTCAAGCACCAGTGCTGGTTTAATTGCGTTGTGCATATCTTCCTTCTATTCTAGATTTGACAGAAGTCTAGGCAGTTTAACTCTTCCCTGAGCACAGTTTACTCTTGTGTGTGCCCATGTGCACTCATGTGGTGTGTGTGTGTGTGTGTGTGTGTATGTGTGTGTGTGTGTGCGTGTGTGTGTGTGTGTGTATGCGTGTGTGTGTGCCCATGTGCACTCATGTGGTGTGTGTGTGTGTGTATGTGTGTGTGCGTGTGTGTGTGTATGCGTGTGTGTGTGTATGCGTGTGTGTGTGTATGCGTGTGTGTGTGCGTGTGTGTGTGTGTATGCGTGTGTGTGTGCCCATGTGCACTCATGTGGTGTGTGTGTGTGTGGTGTGTGTGTATGCGTGTGTGTGTGTGTATGCGTATGTGTGTGTATGCGTGTGTGTGTGTGTATGTGTGTGTGTGTATGCGTGTGTGTGTGTGTGTGCGTGTGTGTGTGTATGCGTGTGTGTGTGTGTATGCGTGTGTGTGTGTATGCGTGTGTGTGTGTATGCGTGTGTGTGTGTGTGTGCGTGTGTGTGTGTGTGTATGCGTGTGTGTGTGCCCATGTGCACTCATGTGGTGTGTGTGTGTGTGTGGTGTGTGTGTATGCGTGTGTGTGTGTATGCGTGTGTGTGTATGCGTGTGTGTGTATGTGTGTGTGTGTATGCGTGTGTGTGTGTGCGCGTGTGTGTGTGTATGCGTGTGTGTGTATGCGTGTGTGTGTGTGTATGCGTGTGTGTGTGTATGCGTGTGTGTGTGTGCGTGTGTGTGTGTGTGTGTGTGTGTGTGTATGCATGTGTACGCACTGCTGAAGAGTGAGTGTATGAAGATTTACTGATGGCTACCTTGCCTTTAGCCACCAAGGGTCTAAGAATATGGATGAGAAGTGATTGGGAAGATAGATGATTGAATATTTATTCAATATTCCAGAACTTCTCTACTGTCCCATGCCTGAAGAATTAATTGTTATCGTTAGACTCAGGTTTTGTTCTGGAAACATTTAAAATTTCCTTTAACTTAAGAGTAGAAGAAGGACTTAGAAGATGATTCTATTTTTCACAGAGGAGTCACAGGTTTCCATGCACCGAGTGCCTTTTCCATGGCATGTGCTCATTCTGTGATATTAATTTATTGTACCTCCCAAAAGATTTCTTCAACCAAGAGATTTTTCATGGTCATTCATTCTATTTATATCAAACTTAGGTTGAAAATACAAAATGACTGGAAAGGAGCAATATAACTAATAATTGTGGTTTTTTCACCTTGAAAACCAATGTAAGACATCTGTAAAGCAAGTTAATTTTGAGTGCAAAACATAATGCCTATGGTGTTTTCTTGAAGTAAATATTGGCAGTTTAAGATGTTATATATTCCCATTTTTTAAGAATGAGGAAAGGTATGAGCTGGTGAAAATGTGTTACTTTGCTAGGATCACCACAATAAATGACACAGACTGAACAACTTAAGCAACTGATCTGGAGTCTAGAAGTCCACAGTCAAGGTGTTGTCAGGGTCTGTTTCTTTTGCCCCCTTGCCCTGGTGTGTAGGTGCCTGCCATATCACTCTATCTCGCTATGGCTCAGGTTGAGGCCTGAATTGTTTCTCCTTAGCAGAGTATCAGTGATACATGTAGTAGGGGAGTGTAGTTCAGTAGTAGAATTTACCTAGCAATGCAAAAGCCCTGGGTTCATTCTCAACATGGCAAAAACAAAAACAAAAACAAAAACAGTCAGATTATATGATATTAGTGTTTATACAAAAGTTATTATTTCGATGGGCATTGGTGGTGCTTGCCTTTAATTCCAGCACTCGGGAGGCAGAGGGAGGTGTATCTCTGTGATTTTGAGGCCAGCATAGTCTACAGAGAAAGTTCCAGAACTGCCAGGGCTGTTAACACACAGAAACCTTGTCTCAGAGAGACAGAGAGAGAGAGAGAGAGAGAGAGAGAGACTTTTAAGCCAGGCATGGTGGTATGCCTGAAGAGTAGGGCTTCCACATGTGGGATTCCTATAACAGCTGATGGGAATACTGGCATATGGGCATAAGGGAATGTGTAGGCATGGAAGTACAGAGGGTCCTCTCTGTCTATAGGCTCCATGTTCAGTCTCAGCCAACCACAGATGGAAAGCTGGAGAAAGCAAGCTAATTATGCTTCTACTGAACATGCCTGGCTTATTTTCTTGTCATGATAGCTTGATAATAGAGCATAACTACCACTTACGTAACATGGACATAATTCTAGCAGCATTATTTAAGGACAATCTGAAGTCTGTGAGGGGATGTAGGGGGCCTGACCTGAGAACCTGTGGCTAGTGGTCTTTCAACTACTTCTTCAAGGATACGGAAGAGCTGACTATACACATATATTTTAGTGAAGAATAATCATTGCTGACTCATGCCCCTCCAAATAAGGTACTGAAGGCATTTTGATTACATTATAATCAGAACTTCACCAAGATTCACTGTCACGCAATTTCTAATTTTGAATTCTCAATATTACATGTTTATATAAATGACCTAAAGTAAGAACTTCAAAAATCATTCCTAGTAACTCTGCTTAGTGCCTTGCATAAGCCATGTCACTCTACTAAGTTAATAATAACTATCTCATAATGGAATTGGTTCCCAAGTGACCAAGTGAATCCATACTTGAAAGTTATGACAGACCTCTACTGAAAAGCATGAAAATGTTCCCTGAAATGCAAGTTACACTCCCTCACACAACAACGCTAAATGTCTAAATATGTTGATTTAGTCTTTTCCATTCCCAGCATAAATGGAAGAATCTGACTCCTCTCTGCAGGGTTATATTTTCTCCCTTGTTGGCAGCATGAAGTGCCAGGGTTTGCTGCTGAGGAGTGGCGTCACACACCACCTCCTCTGTCAAGTCCAGAGGTTAAGTGTGATGGTTCATAAGAGAGGAACAGTTTCCATAGCATCCTCTCCACAGAGGACATTTGAACTGTGTTCATCAAAGTATAGATTCATTTTAGGAGGCTGTTCTGGGTCTGAAAAATAAAGAAGTCAACCCTTTGTTTTGTTCCAGGAAGAAAGTCCAAGATCACGGTGATTGTGCCTTCATGCATAAAAATGGTATAGACAGTACCAATTGTGATGACCTAAGAGACTATATTTGTAGCAAAGTAGGCCAGTGCCCTTGAAGAATTCTTCCATCCGAAAGAAAATGAAAAGCAGTGTCTTCTTTTATGTATGTTAAACGGATGGTGATGTGTTTTTGTTCCCATCAATATTGTTTTGAAATATAATTTGGCTGATGAACATTTACATGAATTTTATCATCAAAATAGTTATTAAGAAGTCTAGAGATTAAGCTAAGTTTGAGAAGGTACTGCTGGGTCATCGAAGTTGGTGCATTGGGGGTTGGGGGAATGAAAAGCCTTGCTCAGGAGTGATTTGTCTCAGTGGGGCACACTGGAGGGCAGAGAGAAAAGAAAGAAAAGTCTCTGCTTGTCTGAAATTCATCGAAATCTTCAGAAAAGAGAAGCAAGAGCTCTGACAGGAGATGAGCTGAGAAAAGTTTCATTTGTTTTCAATACATGGTTCATGTGGAACTGTGAACGAAGGCATGATAGGGAACTACTCTGATCCAAGGCCTGTGTCACTGGAGACCAAGCAACTCTCCACAGGTCTCTAGACTCTCAGTCAAACTGAAGGATGAAAGCCTGAATCTATTACTGCCACAATGACAGAAAGAGTGAAGGAGCCAAGTATTGTCATGAGTCACTGTGAACAGAACATAAGCAGTCAGAGGTAGAAAGGAAGAACCCAGGTGACCTCAAAGGATCCATAGAGATTAGCGGAGATCTGCAAAGCTGTTTCACTCAGATCCTATATAGTACTGAAAGGGTCTTAGGGGGAAGAGGTTAACACTGGTCATCATTAAAAATCTCTTCATCCACCATAGTCTTTTCTCATATATGATCCTAGGGTTTGTTTTATATGTATACACGTGTGTGGAGGAATACAAGACATTAACTAGAAAATGGACTATGGGTGGGGTAAGAGCTCTGAAGGAGGAAAGGGAGTAATACATACATGTGACATGAAACTGGGAGGAACACGGTGAGGAGGGTTGGGACCATCAGGAAGAGGACAGAAGGACCAGAAGGACAGAGGAGGAGAGTGGGGCAGAGCAACTTATAAGAATAAAACATACAGTTCCTGAAACCTGTACTGGGCTAGATAAGTGTCAGCTCATCTTGGAAGGGAGGGCTAGGTCATGCAGCATTTAGGTAACTTTGTGATTTAGAATCTGGTTTGCCACTTAGTTTTCTGTGGTCAAGGAGCCTGAGTTTGTATTTTGGAAGTTGAAATAGAGACAAGTTTGGGGAAGACAGGAACTGGTTCAGAATGGAGAATCCTAGAACAGTTTCCATTGGGGTCTCTCATCTTTTCCTTTCATTCTAATAGATTCCTGCCTCCACCTTTATCATCTGGGAGAGTTGCTCATCATCCTTAATCTCAGTGTAGTACTATCTATAAATACAATATGGGGGGCAAGCATTGGGTTGCAGGCTGAACTAACCGAGGTGTGTTTACAGTAGCCTTAGCTCACGGCTTCAACTACAGTGTCTTTTGTTAAATATTATCATCTCCAGAGTCATTTTAAGGACAAAGGAAGGTTCCCATTCATTGTTCAGTAGTCAGTAGATATTAATTAAAATACATAAAGCATAATTGATCATTTACTCAGAACAAAGCATACATGAAAATGTGATGATGAAACCCATTGTTTTGCAGGCTGATTTACAAATTTATTTTAAAACTTAAATATCTTGCATCTTTTAGAAAAGGAAAGGAAGCCATTACATGCCTGTAATCCCAGCACTTCAGATGTTGAAGCAGAATGATGAGGCCAGGTCAGCCTGTGCTACATAGTGAGATCCTGCTTAAAAAACAAAATAAGGTGCTGTGGAGATAGCTCGCTCAATTCAGTGCTTGCTGTGCAAACACAAGTTTTATTCTCTATCACCCATATCAAAATCCCAACCTAGAAGCCTCAGTTCATAATCTCGGCAGTGGAAAGTCAGAGAAAGTGTTCCTGGGGCTTGCAAGCCAGCCAGTATAGGAAAGGTAAGCTCCTCTCCCAGTGAGAGACCTTCTCAAATACCAAGGCATATGGCTGGATGAAGAGATGGGCTAGCCGCTCTTGTAGAGGACCACAATTCTGTTGCTAAAACCCATGTCCAGGAATCCATCTCTACCTGCATCTCCAGCTCTGTCTGACACCCTCTTCTGGCCTCTAAGGATACCTGCACTGACACGTTCATGTTCATGCATGCACACAAATCTACACTTTTTAAAATAAAAAAAGGTGATAGGCAATAGAATAAGGTAACACTCAGTGTCAACTTCTTACAGATGCACCTACATGCTCATATACATACACAGGCCAAAATAAAATGAAATTCTATTGTTTAATGTTTTAGCTTAGCTTCATTTTTGTGTTCCCCAATGTAATGAATTCTCTTTTGAATATTAACATTTCCTACAAACTATGTATTCTTATATCCTTTAGTATTTTAGCTAATTCTTTGAGCAAATTAAAGCTTAAATTATTTACCTGACATTACACTAGGTGATAGAACCACATTTAAAACCCTGTTCTTTCTCATACTCAGTATAGACAATCAATAGAAAAAATAGAATCCACATCTCATCACAAGAAGATTTTATCAACATTTGTCACTCACTGTATAGAATGACCTTTAATAATGCTTAAAATGGGTTGACAGGAGAAATAGAGTTTTTTAAAAAGAAAATAGAACTAACATGCTGTGCAAGAAGTGTACATCGTCTGAGAGGGAATCATACATGCTCAACTTTCTTGTACAGTGAAGCTCTCCAGAACTCAATGCAGAAAATGTCTTATGTCTGTGTATGACGAACTTGCCACCAAACCATACTGAGACAGAAAATATATATAGTAGAAAGAGCCAGGCTGCCCTTTGGTGAACAGGACTTTGAAGGAAAAGATAGCAAAGAAAGCGGCAAGGGAGAACTTCATGATGATGATCATGCCTTTCTTCAGGATAGCTGGGTGATGCTCATCCACTCTCAGCCTACCCCAGATGGTACCCAGGATGGACTGCTCACATTGGGTCAAACAGCTCAGAATTATTTTCCATCTTACGATTTTCCATGGAGTGTTAACCAGAGACCTTAGACTGACAAAATCATAATTGGCTTGTGTTCTGAAGCCATCTTTCACTAGAATGTCTCTCCAGATATATCTGGCTTCCTACTCTTTATACAGGGTAACCTTTGCTTAACACCTTGACACACTTATGCCAGAATATAACCCTTGGTACATTATCTTGTAAGTGACCAACTTTGAATTACAGAAGAAAACAAATTTCAAGCAATTCAAAATCCTTAAAATGCTACTATTGTCCAGAGTGGATCAGAGCTAGAAAGGGGTCAATGACCTGTACTATGCCTAGGAGACCCACACCCAAGCAGAATGTAAATTTACACTCAAAATGAATGCATAAGAATGGAAGAATCACAAAATACGTATAGTTGGATGAACGCGAAACATCACACAGAAGGATGAATTAATGCACAGCAAAGGAAACATTGGGTGGCCAATGTCAGAAAGAAAGAAAGGTTTCAGACTGATTGAGGTGTTCAAAATAAAAGTATAGAAAACTGAACCCAGTGCAAAATAAAAGAGGGGTAGAGTTGAAGTAACAAATAACATGAATTTTAAAAAAGAAAAAAATAGTCTATGTGGTAGTGGTCTGAGAACTTCAGTATAATGTCTGGACAGGTGAACAAACCTAGGGGAGTTTTCTAAAAAGCCAAACATCATCTATAAAACTCTACACCAACATAGTTAATAGAAAAGAAAAGTGTTTTCTCTGAAAATTTTGGTCTTACAGCCAGCATTTACTGTGAGAGCTGGCTCTGTAACCAGATGAAAAAAAAAAAAGAAACAAAACAACATTAATTGTGAGTAAAGTGACCTCAGGTCACAGGTGTCATAAATACCCATGTGAAAAAGCCTATCAACACAGAACGGTGAGCAGCTACCCCAACTCTTGTGATCTTCAATCAACAGAGTCGACCACATTTCTACTTTCTAATGACAGACAACTGGAGAGTAAAATATATAACACAATCTACATTGAAACCAAAACTAAATATCCAGGGACACAAATCTGCACGCGAAACCCTAAGTGTTTTGAATACAAATAAATAGAAGCCAAAATCAATGAAGTGGGACTCTCATTGAAGAGTGCTTGTCACTAAGATGCCAGCTTTCTGCAAAGTGAAAAGAATTACACTGTGGCTCAAGATGAACTGTCCGAGGACACACATGTCTCCCTTCATCACTGTTTCCTGTTGCACGCTTCAGTTCTTAGGTGGAACTACTCAGAGAAACCCTGTCCTGAAAAATAAATAAATAAAATAAATAAATAAGCAAATCTTTCTTTTTCAAACTAAGCTCTTTTGCTGTCTATGCAAACATGGCTTGTGAAAAAGAGGACACTGTATTTTATGCGTAGCCAATATAATATCATAAAAATGCAATGGATAAAATAGTTTCTGAAAGAATTCATGTAACACAAAATTAAAGCAGTATATATGCCTTGTTTTGTTAAGTCGGGATATCCGACTGTATGTAACCGAGGCTGCCATGAATCTCATGAAAAACCTGTTGCTTCAGCTTCCCATGTGCTGGGATGCCAGGCTTATGCCACCATATGTGACAAAAAACATTATTAAAAACCATGTTGTACATAAGAGCAAATTTCAAAAACAAATCACTAAGTCCTGTCTCATAGTAATAAGAGCTAAGTATACAGAGAAGGTTAATTTCACTGTGTCATGCATGCATTGATCTCCTCAATGTTAACCTAATACCTAGAATTTTTCAAATATTGAACGTATATGACTAAAACCATAATTATAAGAAAGTGATACCACAGGGTTTAGTTTTAATGAATCTATTTATGAAACAGCTCCTTGTTGATGCTTCACATGACCAGGAGGGGGCACCAGAAAGCCAGAAAACCTTCAATGACCTAGCTGGCATTGGAGATCTGCAATGTCCTGGAACACAAAATCATTAGGTGGTGGTTCTTAATTCACTGGCTTTGAGGGTTCTAGGAACTAGGCTAATCCTGTCCTCGACGCACAAAGAAACTACGGATTCAGTTTCATTTCTCTCATATTGATCAGGCATTTCATTGCTCTAGTCATTCCATCAATATTGCCACACACTATCTACTAACGTCTCTGAAAAAGTTCCATCTTTT